TCAATAATCAACTAAACTCGACATCCCTATCACAGAGAAGGGTGGACATGGGTGGCTATAGCTTCTTGGGGGCTTTCCTTTTCATTATAATGATACAAATTACAATTGGATTATGCACTATCTGTCCAGTTATGAACATAAGTAACTGTGTCATGAAAATGTTTAGGCTAAAGTATTTAAAGAATAAACAGATAAAGAAATAACTAGATATAAACATGGTCTGAAACACTATTTGCATTTCTGAGAATATCAAATATTCGTGAATCATTTATGGCTGAAAATGATCAATAATCAAAACTAAAAACTGGTATCAAAACTAGACAGTCATTTGGCAAAAAAAACAAACAAAATCAATAAAAAAATCAATACAGGTTTAGACCTTTCATGATAAATTATAAAATGGTCTTGATCTATGTCAGAAGTAGTATAGGAGCATATGATAATAATACTAAAGAAACTACTACTATTTAATTAATTAACTATTTTTCTGTGTTAAAAATGTAATTAGATTGCGTAAAAATAGTAACTTTTTTTTCTTCCATGTTGTTTTGAAAATCATATGGTTAAGCATGATCCTTTGAAACTGTAGTATCAAATCGTCACTAAATGCACACAGGAACATTTGTTTGTCCACATTTTAAACTGTTACCACTAACCTGCTACTCAAGCCACTAGAGGGCATCGAAGTCCTGGTCCTCTTCCTGCTGTCGGAGTGTTCGGACAGGGCCTGGATGCTCGCCTGCAGGACGACTCTGCAAAGGAGACACGAACAGGACCCGAAATTACCCCATAACCAAGACTCTGAGTCGCTGTGTGCAGGGTGACCACCTCAAATAATAACATAATATAGTTGTGCATCGTGGTAGGACAAGGAGGGATGGACTTGGTCGCTTTTATCTGGAAGAGTAAAGTTCCCATAATTTTTAAATGTATCTTGCATCAAAACGCAATGAAAACAACTGATACTTTGGAGATAATAAATCATTCATTAACTAATCATTGCATTTATATAGTGCCTTTCAAGACAGCCAAAGTGCTTTACTGATTGATGTCTGCCTGTGGGCGTGGTTCCATCAGTAGATACTGCTCTGTCTGACTCTCAGTTACTTAAATTAGACTTAATCTGGGCTTTATTTTAACACAATCTGACCATAAAGAACTGACTTAGCTGATTTGTGCTGTTAAGTAAATCCCTCTCAAATAGCACAGTGACATTACAGTAACATTACAGTCATAAGCCACAGTCATTCTTATCTTTTTGTTGAAAATCAAACACCTAAAGAGGACTTTGGACACTTGTATTGATCACAGGCTCCTAAGGATGTAATAATAACCGAAATATCGTGATATTGTATCGTCAAAAGTCTCACAATAATATCGTGGACTGTCACAATATATCGAATTACAAGTTCCTTTGCTTAAATTCATGGTTTTCTAGTAGCAACAGCTTATAAACATCATAAACTACATATCCCATGATTCATTTCAGTGCAGACAACATGAATATATATGTTTTTTTACTTGAATTCTTGGGATTATGACAGAAATAATTGACACCAAAATCCTGTCAAGGTATTTTAAAAGCAAAGGAGTGTTCCAACTACAATTATATTAGTCTCTTCAAAATATTGCAATAAATATCATATCGTGAGAAGCATATCGTGATATTGCACCATGAGATTTGGATATCGTTACATCCTTAGAGGCTCCTAAAAATGTCCATTTTCTATTTTTTCTTGTGTTTACAGACTACCTATAAAGTTTTTTTGCTGTATGTGTGCACTGTGTCACCATGGTAACTACACTGCAAAATATAAACTGTAAATGACATATCTTACTAGTCCGCAAAAGGGATTCATTTTGTGCAAGAACAATTTTGTACAGTATTGTGTTTTGTGTAAATATCTTTTCTTTTTAATAGTATTTTTTGGATGAAAGTGGCGCATTGTCTAAATAAATGAGACGAGGGACAGCGGTTTAAAGGTGGTCACCCTTGTCTTGTGAGTTCAGATTTCTACCTCGGGGAGTGAGACGATGACCTTGTATGAATCTTATTCTCTTCTAATCTGAAACACAAGAAATAGAACAGCATAATTATACATTTATTTTTAGGTACTTACTAAAGGGATGGAGGGCAGACAGACAAAATGGAGATAAGGTTAAGAAGGTACAGCAAAGAACACAGCCAGGGGATATTAATGAAGCCAGGTGTTAGGGGTGGGTGATATGCCAAAAAAGATCATAACATGGTTTATTAGACCCACTATTTGACATTATTTAAACACAAATCATGCAGTTAGTATCTTTTTTTTATCATTAAGGGGTGACTAAAACATCTGCTGCTTATAAGAGATAATACTTTACTGAGTCTGTGAGTTATTAAAAGCCCAATATTACGCTATTTTTGATCTATGTTGTCATTTTTTATCTCCATGTGCAGTTGTGTTTTGCTTCACTCACACATATTAAACTCATAACTTCAGCATATTTAGGTTCTTCTTTCCGACAGAAAACACTGCTCCAAATTGTGACATGTCATGTGGTAATACAGGAAGTGCTCCATTGCGTTTTTAAACTTAATACACCTTCACTAGAATCATTTGGGTGATTTTAGATTTGGAATTGCCGATCTCTACTGAACTAAAAGTAAGATGTTAACTTGAAAACTACATTTCCATGACATCACAAGGTGGACCAGAGCATTTTGAGCTTTGAAGATGTAGACAGACTAATAATAAATAGTAATTCAAGCATGTGTGAATGAAACAAAACACAACTCCAGGTATGTTTTTGAGGAGGTACATGGCTTAAAGCTCACAAGAATCTATTTTGTGTAATATAGGACCTTTAAATCCACCTGCATTAAACAGAAAAACACTAAATCAAAATATGACAATTTAATATAATAAAAAAATCCATGTAGTCATAGGATCAGATCACAATTTAAGTTTTTTTTTTTTATTGCCATATCACCCAGCCCAACCACAAATGTTCCAGAAAAATCCGGCGTGGTGCTAATCCTATAAGGACGGGGCCTTTATCACACAGGCTGAAATAGGCCGTCATAGCTACCACAGAAACCAGAAGGATCAACAAAGCCATTAAAATAACAGGGTGAAATGGACTATCTATAGAACAGACACTTCCAGTTGTGTTTTGTATGTGATAGGGCTGCACAATATAATACAATTAAATAAAAATAGAAATATGAGTAGGTGCAATTATTTAGATGAAAGAATGTTCTCTGAAAAGAACTAATTATCCTGGCTTTTCATAGAAAACTCTGGTTGTACCTGTATAAACATGTTTTGAAATTCATGGGATTTTTGTAATAGTTCATATTTCAGTCTTCTCTCAAATGTAAATGCTCCCGGCATCGTTTATAATGTGCAGTCTGAGCAGAATCCTACTTTTTAAACATAAAGCACAAATAGGCCTGTCACGATAACTACTATATTGTTAACCTTATAGTTCCATTTATGAAAGATGGAACAATATACGGTGTTTTGGGTCTCAATATTTACCATTTATACAAATTTCTGTGTAAAAGTGGTGAGATTTTTGCAATTTTTATGTAAGAAAAGCAAGATTTGAGCTATGGAGAGAAAAAATAACTCATTATTGGATCATTCTGCTGTTTATTTATTGTAGCTCAGACTTTTTAATGATACTGTATTTAAGAATGGTTTACTAATCTGTTAATTAATCTGTTGTATTGTGTATTGGTCTGTATTGTGTTAGTGGCATAATGTCAGTGTTTTAATTTAATGCAGTATTTCTGTGCAACAATATATCGTGCTTCAAATTTTGTTATCAAGATAGGTCTAATCACAAATAGCAATATCAGAAAAATCATAATTTGATTTTTTTTTCTCCCTAAAATCGTGCAGCCCTAGTATGTTATCATCTTATTTACAATCTATAATCAAAGGAATAGGAGAAAGGGAAAATGATTTTGAACCAACATCTAATTTGACTTGGGAATTGAGAAGATAGCAGTGCTCACTTACAGTATTTTTACTTAGTGCTCCAGTAGGGGGCAGGTTTTTGGGGGTCTGGCGGGTGGCAGAGTTCATAGAAATCCTAACCCGTCTATACTGAAATGCAGGATGGAAGAAGGGATGCCATACACAATCCACCACAGGGCAAGGCTACACAGGGAGGAGAGCAGCATGGCTACCAGCCATCTGGAAGGAGGACAAATCCAACAAGAGCAAACGGAAAAGAGGAAATAAAAAAGGAAAACACAGAGACACGCCCGGGAAGGACACTCTGATGTTCGAATTTTCCCTCAGACTGGATTAGATAAAAACAACTTTACACAACTTCCACTTTCAATTAATAGATTTTTTTTAAATTGAGATCAAAATTCCAATGAACAAATTAGGTCTGTTTAATCAAAAGATATACAGCCAATCATCTGTCAGTAAAAGTACATTGTTTGGAACAGACTCTGGAGTAAACAAACGCCTTGTCCTGTTTATTCTCATTAAATTAATAATGAAAGTATTTCTTGGATTAATCCATGTTCAAATCTTCAAATGTGATTTATCAAACAGTGCTCTTTTTTTGGCATACTGGCAGCTCTAACTTTCATTTTACTTTTTTTGCCGTCATTGATTCAAGTTAGTTATTTCTTGTTAGGCTGTTAGGTAGGGTTAGTCAAAGATTAAATGTGATTTTTTTTTTTTAAGCATTGTTATTGCTACTATTAATACCCACAATCCAAATCTACATGAATCTACAAATATTATTAACTAAACGTATTTTATAATGTCAGTGCAAATATATAGTAGATATATTAAATACATTTCAAAAATCACACTCTTAAGAATTCAATTTCAGAAGTCCTATGGTGTGGGTTGTTTTCACCAATCCAGTCACAAAAACAATGGAAAAAACAAAACAACAGGAGTGACGATGAACCCGGCTTTACTTAAGTTACAGGTTAGACTGAAACATAGATCCAACATACAAATGTGTTTGTACATGCACAGGTCTGAGGGCTGCAGCCATGCAAGAGACAGAGCCGGAGCAAATGAACACTTTTAATGGATTCATTTCTCCAAGCAACAGTGGAACGCAACATGCACTTTAGTTACACAAACAGTGAAGCCACATGGTGAAGGGCAGCACAGAAACACATATTGCATAGATTACTTTTAACGAACTAACTTACTTACTTAAGAGTCTGTATTATGATATTTTCTGATCTATGCTATAATGTTTCCTCAGCTAAAACATACCTGGAGTTGTGTTTTGTTTCATTTGTTTTAGCACACAAACCCTGCATATTCAGTTCTTTTCCCAAACTGAAAACAATCCATTCCACCTTGTGATGTCATGTGGCAATGCAGGAAAAGCTGCACTGTGTTTTTAAAACCTTCACTAGAATAATTTGGATGATTTCAGCCCAGGTATTGCCAATCTCCACTGGACCAAAGGTAAAATGTAGTTGTTTTTGAGCTTTGGAGGTCTAGACAGACTAATAATAAAGGATGTGTGAATGAAACAAAACACAACTCCAGATATGTTTTTGAAGACTTAACAACATGATAACATGGCTTAAAGCTCACAAGAGTCAATTTTGCACAATATAGAACCTTTATGGGCTATGTATACACCTATTTAGAGCTGTAGTTGACTAAATAAATTCTTTAATCGACTAAAGGCATGTCCTGCTGATCAATTAGTTGACTAAAAGGGGGCATGGCAATCTGACCGAAATTACACGCGAGTTAAACCAAAATCAACTTTCAGACCTTCAATTTTTACTTCTGCATACCTTGCTTTTGCTGCTGTTGTTTCATATGAATCCCAAAAATCTAAATAAAAATAATTACAGTTGAGTAATAAAAGTTTTGGTCAACTAAGACACAATCATTCTAAATGACTACAGCCCTAAACTTACTCCATACATTAAGTTCAATATCTGAGAACATGGTGTGTTGAAAGAATATCCACAAATCTTACTAAGCATAAAAATACATTATTTTACAGACAAAAAAATACACAGTTTATTATAGAGATCAAGCCTGAACACTATTTTGATTTTTGCGTTAAAATCATAAAATAGAAAGTCATATGTTTGACTTCATAAAGGTATGATCAGCATTGGGATTATACCGTAATAAAAAACTAACCAAAATGCTCTTGATATAGCGATTTTGTCCCATCACTAATATGTAACACAGTGCAGTAGGAACAGGAATTTACATCTTAAACTCTTAATTGATTTACTATTATAATAACATGTAATATACAATGATGGCAAAAATATCTACACTGAGAGCATATTTAAAAAAGACAAACTCAAAACAAGCCCTACAACACGTCAACTGCATCAAGACTTTGTTGTGAAACCTTGAGAAGTTGAACAAAAAGCAACTGAAAAAGCCAGCTCTATGGAGGGGCCAACAGTGACAGGCGTGTAAATGTAATGCAGTCACCAAGTGCATTTCCACCTCACACCACAAGAGCGGAAAAAAAAGAAAAAGTTTCAAACTCAGCCACAGCTAGCCATAACATTCAGTCGCCTACAGCAACGATTTCTATAGGAAGAGGATGTCAGTTTGAAAGGAAGTGACATGCACTTACCTCCATTATACAAAACCTCACATGCACTCTCCCCTCTTTCTCTCTCTCTCCCTCTGTGCTATCTTTTCAACGGCAGGCAGCACACGGGCCACACCGGACCCATGAGGCTGCAGCAGAACACTAGCACCTGCCTGGCATGGGACAAAAGCCAAACCCACATGGGTACATTGGCAGAGGCCAGTCCACAGCTGACAACAAGCTCCTACGGCTGGATTCACAGAGGCACAGACTAAACCAATGTCAATCTGTGTGTCATCTCATCTATATACTGTTTTTATTCATAAAAACTTTGACTAATTTAAAATTGTTGTAGCTTAGTGATGATTAGTAGACTTTAGGGTTGTCAAAAGCATCGAAAATGAAATTCTAATAATCACTAATAATAGTATAAGTAGTAAATACTCAATAGAAGTACTGAGCCAGAAACAAAAACAACACAATCTGACATTTCCTGAACAGGTTTTGAATGATCTTAAGCTTTGTTAAAAACTAGGATAAGACCATTTATCATAATATATACATTTTTCAGACCAAAATTTAGCTTATTAGATTGAGACTGAGACTGAGAGAATTGCATTATATTGTCTGAAAGCTGTTTTTTCCATCATGTTAACAAATTGGTATTGAGCCTATTACAGTAGAACACTCACACACTTAAGTACATTATCTATAGAATAAAAGCATGCTTGTTCCCTGGTTGAGTTAATGGATGAGCCCATAATGCTGCAGATGTAAAAGCAAAGGGCAAAACCAATGCCGTCTTGCATCTAATTTTGACTTCTGTGAATAATCTTTGGTCCACATCGCTAAAACCCCCTTTGTGTAAGCATTATGAATTTATGTTTGATTGTAAATTATCATATTTTGTAGGGGTGTAACAATAACTGAAATATTGTGATATCGTATCCTCAAAGTGCGTAGAATAATATCGCGGATCATTACAATATCTCGAATTACAAGTCTCTTTGCTTAAATTAAGAGTTATGGTGCAACAATAGCTAAAAAAAGACAGAGGGAACTACATAGACCATGATCCTTTGCTCCATTTCGGTGTAGACTACAAGAAGAAATAACAGTTCTAAGCACTTTTATGTCTTAGTTCTTTGGATTAAGTCTTGTCAAAGCATTTTAAGAGGGAAAGGTAGCTTATTAACCTCCACAAAATATCGCAATAAATATCATACTGTGAGATGTATATTGTAAAAATATTTCGTAAATATTATATCGTAAGACATTTGGACATTGTTACATCCTTAATCGTGAGCCTCCCCATGATATCGCAATAAATATCGTCCCGTGAGGTTCATACCGTGACGATATTGTAACATGAGACTTAAATATTGTTACACCCCTAATATTTTGTCTATTTCCAGTATATATTTGTTGTGCCTTTCCAAATCCAGCAAGCAAAGTTATTATAAAATATTACTCAAAAGGTATTGTCTTAATAATTCTAACAGTGTAATTACTACCACATCAGCTACAACTGCGCTCAAATCCAAAAGTACGTGAATAATAACCTGTACGATGGCATTGTTGGTATACAGCGTGGTACAGATCAGCCTTTATAAGCCATGCCTGTAACATTGGCGAGCTCACTAAACTTCATTTCAAAATTATCTCAACTTGTAACTCCGCTTATTGAGAAACTGTGAAAAAGTGCATTGTGTAACTTTTCTGGTGGAGGACCTGTCAAATGCTTTTCTACGTGGAGATGTTATTGCGTTGTCTGGAATGTTTCACAGTTTGGTATTAAGCATTTTTATCATCATGGAGACCAAACCAGACCAAGTTTCTGGTCAAATGAAGCAATCCAGGCAGAGCAACGCCATATCCATAGAAACAAGCAGGTGACGGACCCTGAATCAAAAAGTTACACAGTGAAACTTTAAGATTCAAAACTATATTACACTTATTTTACAGCACTATCAACCATGTGAGTTCATGTTGTACTTACGATAAAGATCCTGTCGAAGCCCTGGCCTGACGCTTGCTTTTCAGAGCTCGCAGTTTGTCGCCTTGAGTGAAACCATTTCTCTCCTCATCATCGATATACTACAAAAAATAAAATAAAATAAAAAATAAGATTAATTAGAAAGTACACTTGGGAATGTGTCGGGAATATGTTGGGAACCAAACATACTTGCTCCACATCATTTTTCTTGCTTGTTCTGTTCTTGTTTGTCCCGTTAATGGTGATGTCATCCACTCCAGACAGGATCCTCGTTACGGACATTTTTCCATTTTCCCTTTCATTAAGCATCTTCTCCCGGAAAACGTCGCCCTCTTTCCACAAACTGTTCTGTTTACTACCAAAGAACATTAAAGGTGCATTGTGTGAATTTTCTGGTGGTGGCTCCGTCAAATGCTTTTCTCCATGGAGATGTTATTGCTTTGTCTGGAATGTTTCACAGTTTGTTATTAAGCCTTTATCATCATGGAGACTAAACCAGGCCAAGTTTCCGGTCAAATGAAGCAATCCAGGCAAAGCAACGACATATCCACAGAAACAAGTAGGTGACGGACCCCGAATCAAAAAGTTACACAGTGAAACTTTAAGATTCAAACTATATTACACTTGGCATAAACCTTTCTATCTTTATGAAGACCAAAACAGACAGTTACAGGTCAGATCTGTGGAGAGGCAACTCTTAGGTATTTTTGAGCTATAAAACCACCTGCAATTGAAATATTTATTGTCATACTGTGGAACATTCCAGGCAGAGCAATGACATATCCACAGAAACAAACAGGTGACAGACCCCCAACCAAAAAGTTACATAGTGCATCTTTAAATCAGTACTGATCCTCACGCAGGCCTGTCACAATAACACATTTTTGAAGTTTTACCCTGATGCCCAAAAAATTTGTCACTCCTCACTCTCTCCCCCTATATGTAGTTAACATATTTACAGGATGTTTACGTTCATGTTTCTGGATGGTAAATAATAATTTCACTGCACACTGTACTGCATGCATTTGTGTATATAACATATAAAATAAACTAAAAATACACTTTAGTTAGTTTGTATATAAAATAGAAGTCATAGAATTTCAACTACAGCTCAAAAATCTTGAGCAAAAAGAGAAAGTACTGACAACAAAACAAAAAATTATTGCATCTGTCAAGAATTGTTCAGTAATTTATTGTACAATTAATGAATATAGCAATTGTTGTGACAGGCCAATACTCATGTAGATCATTATTATTATATTATTGGACACTAGATACAAAAACTTACTCATCAACAAAGTTCTGTTGAGGACCAATGACGGATCCTGGTCGGCAGATCCGTATCCAAGCGATGGCTTCTGCAGCAGTAAGGCGGTAATGCTTCATCATGTAACATGCGATTAAGGTGCCTGTTCTCCCCAGACCAGCTGAAAGAGATGATTGTAAATATAACAACTACTTTCCTGTTTTTACAAACCTCATACAAACATTTAGTGCAGCATGCCCTTATGATGGTGCGAAGCTAATGCAGCTCAAACAAAGCTGTAAACCAGTGCTAGAATGCAACAAACTAAAAGTAGTAAAGTACTTAGTTATATTTTGAAGTGGATACTTTTTACTTTTACTTCACAACATCTGAAAGCCAGTACCTATACTTTCTACTCCACTACATCTTTACTGAAAAGTAAAAGTATTTTTTAGAATTGTGAGTGACTCAATCAGGGTTTATTTTGAACACATTTGTAGTTTGAGCAAACACAATTATACACATAAAAACAACTACAAAAAAAATATGAATTCAACTGATTTAGCTGAACAAAACTGAACACAAATCTTTATCAAAATCACAACATTTTAAATGTTACAAGACCTTTTTAAAGTAAATTTTTAAACGGGTACTTTAATACTTTTACTTAAGTAGATTTTCTCATGTGATACTTACTTTAACTTGAGTATTTTTCTGCTCCAGTATCTGTTCTTTTACATAAGTAACAAAACTGAGCACTTTGAAAATTGAGTACACCACTGCTGCAAATATATAGTGGGGTGGTGAACCCTGTCAAAATATTGGCCAATGACGGAGCTCAAAAGCTGATAACAAATATGCTTAAAGAGCAAATATTTGCCATCTATATCAATTTTCCCTATTGATAATTACAGAGCACTTCCATAAGAAACATCCATATGCTGTATATGTCGAGATGCATAAATATAAAGTGACTGCATACCTTTACAGTGAACAGCAATTCCTCCTTCTGCATTTTCACAGATGTTGAGAAACTTCCGGACAATGGAGTCATTTGGAGTACTGCCATCCACAAAGAACAGGTCGTGGTGCTCAAAGCCAGAGTCTGTGAAGCGCCTGGCATCGTACATCTTCTTGTTTAATCGGATGACAGTGGTGATGTTGTGTTTACGGAAATAGGGAATGTAAGCTTCAGGAGCATGGAGAGGGTATCCTGTAGGGAGGAAGATTCTGTCAAGATTATTTGGTTATTATCTTATTGTGATATTATTTTATGCTATAATATTAAGATATATTTGTATTTCTATATTTGTATTTTTTATTTCTACATACACATTTATATAATTAGACTTTATTTGACACCAGTCCCTTGCTATTTTTGCTTCCTATTTTTAATTTATTATTACCATTTATATTTTTACACTTTGTTATTAATAGATTGTTAATAAATTGTCACGTGTGAGCTACTGTGTCCAAATAATTTTCCTTGTGGATCAATAAAGTTTGTCCAAGTCTATTTCAGGTTAGAGTATGACCATAACAATGTAAAAAAAAAAAAAAGGGCCCATATTATGCTGTTTTCTGATTATAATGTTGTTTCCTCATCAAAAACAGAGTTGTTTTTGTTTCAGTCACCCACATTTAACACAGGAACCCTGCATATTTAGGCTGAGTTTTCTCAAACAAAAAAAACCCACTCTGTTTAACCTTGTAGAGATGCTGACAGCCCGATACTACAAGAATTACTCAAACAAGTGTAAATGAAAGAAAACAAAACTCCAAGTATGTTTTTGAGGAGGTAAGTATTATGTGTAATATAGGACCTTTAAAATGTGAAGAGTTCAAATGCTAAAACAAGTACAGAACAGTTTTGTTATCATCTTCTACAGGTGTCATCATGGAACTATATTTTAATTGCATTTGGCATTTCAAAACATTTATATTGATACTTTGCAGCTGATGTCATAACAGTCTCTCGGGGTGTGACGCTAACTGAAAGCACCGACTTCACTGGAACTAAAACAAGTGAGATGATTTGTGCGGTTAAACAAGTCTCTTACACATATAATTATAGTCACAACAGTTACAGCTTCGGAAAATAGCAGCATATGCCAACAGTTTTTTGTTTTGTTTTTTTCAGCTGGGACGCTCACACATAAACAGCTCACACCTGTACATCAAACACCTATGAATGCTCGTATTGATCACAGTTCTCCTAAAAATGTGTTCTTTAAATATTTTTTTTTCCCCCTTTGAGATTTCAGACAATCTTTTTGGCAGTGTTTGCTAATGTGTGTGCATTTTGCCACCATTGTAACTTCTGAACATTTAGTCATAAACATAGAGGAAAAAACACCCCAGCATAATGCCACTGCAAAGTATCAATACAAACCGCAAACCTTTGATTACTTTAACCTGAACATATTTATTTTTGCAAATAAGCCCTTCATATGTATACAATTTATGAGCAAAAATAAGTAATTTAAATTGAAGCTATACTTAAAATGGTTGTTAATGGTGCACTGTGTAACTTTTTGGTTGGTGGTCTGTCACCTGGTTGTTTCTATGGATATGTCACTGATCTGCTTGAAATGTCACACAGTATGACATTAAACAGCACTACCTTACATTTACTCAATTACAGGTGTTTCTATTGTTCATAAAATACCTAGAAAAACAGGCATTCTGACTGTGAACGGGGTCGCCTCTCCACAGAACTGATCAGTAACTTGGTCTGGTCTTGGTCTTAGTTTTGGTCTCCATAAAGATAGAAAGGTTTCACACCAAACCATGTAACGTTCCAGACAAAGTAATAACGTTTCCATGGAGAAAAGCATTTGACAGACCATCCACTAGAAAAGTTCTTTAAAGTCATGTTTAGTTTACTTTTTCATTCATAAAGTTTGATTTTGCAAAAGCTGGTAACATGCTATAGGAGTGGTGACCTTTTTAACACAGTAAATTGAGATTTCAGTTGTTTGATCATGGCAGTCAGGAAAAATATTTTTTCTCACAAACTCCCTAACACTAAAATTTGTACCCTGTGGACAAAAATGTGTAACAAACCACATGTAATTTAAAATCTCGTTACCATTTTCTATTTTGCTTTTAGGGTGAGGCCCGCTAAAAGCAAGAAACTTCCCAGGAATTATCCAGTTAAAATCTCCATTTTCTGCACGCTCATAATGCTCGTACTCTTCCACGTCAAAGTTGGAAAAGTCCAGCCAGCCGAATTCAAGGGCCTACATGAAGAGATAAGTTTATTAGAGGCATAAACACAGATTAAAGATTAAGAAGATTAAAGATGGAATGCAATACCTTATGAATCGCCCAGAGGCAGTCTAGGATATTTAGATTGTACATGCATGTTCCAAAAGAGGCATCCCTGAGGACAAATTCAAATCGGATTAGTTTGGAGTTCAGACAAACTTTACTGCAAAATATCTGCCATCAAAATAATTTTATTTAGTTAATGTTGTTAGTCTAGAATCCATCTGTCTATATAAAGGTCTGAAGGTTAAAATGCATTACATAACATAAATAATATTATTGACTTTCCTCAGATCTCACAAATGCAAAAACTACATTTACAATAATTTTACAGTACTGCAATGTCTACCAAAACAATATGAAACTGTTAAAACATTGTACACAAACATGTTTTTACACAGTTATTTAACAAAAGATATTAATTTAAGGGAAAAATAACTTCTGATTCTCTGTTTTAACATCAAGTATAATCAAGAAGAACAATCTCTTTAGAAATAAAATGTCAAAATTTGTATGTAGTCACTTACCTAAATGGAATATATGTTGAATTCCGTGAGACTAAAAGATTATAGGCTTCATCTGGAGTCATGTTCAGATGCATTACCTCAATAAGTAAAAGAAAAATTTATTTAGCACATATTTACACTGTTTGTGAAGTTGTTAGTTAAAATACTTACTGCATAAGAACCGATTAGATAGGCAGCATTGGCTTGTTTCTTCTGATCTCCGCAAGTATAAAATATGATTTTCTTTCTTGAAAGACAAATTGACTGGACACAAACAAATCAATATTTAAAGATGAGTTATGCAACTTTTCTGGTGGAAGTCCTGTCAGCTGCTCATCTCCATTAAGATGCTGCTTTGCCTAGAATGTTCCACTGCATGCTATTAAACTAAACGTCTGTCACCATGGAGACAAGGACGTAACTAGAACAAGTCAGAGGTTTCATTGTGTCGATAAGCGAGTAGTATATATTAAAGTATTTTGTAAGTAATAAAACACATGTGATTAAATAAAAGACAGTAAGACAGATCAGTAATGCCATACTGTGGAACATATAGACCATTATTAAATTTGCTCTTCCCTGTAAATCGTGGATCAGTGGAGTGTGTAAATTACCTTGAGCTTCTTCGTCAGCTTGCAGCAAAAGCGATAAAACATGGCCAGGTTGAGCGGGCCAAAGTCCGCATAGAAACTGAGGAGAAAAAGAGGAGTGTCAGGGTGGCTATTTCTGCACATTGCACACAGCCCCGGTCTCTGGAGATCCGAGACTGGAATCAGCGACGAACAATGTGAAAACGCAAACTAAAGTACAGTACGAGCTGTTTGCAAGAGGTCAATGCAGCTGCAGCAGTCAGGAACTCTCACAATGATGATAAAAATAGCTTATAATTAAAAGGGGCATTGTGCAACTTTTCTGGTGGAGGGTCTGTCAAATACTTTCCTCTGAAGAGATGATATTGCTTTGTGTGGCATTAAATCTTTCTACCTTCATGAATGCATTTTTCTAGATATTTTTGAGCTATAAAAACACCTGTAATTAAAGAAATGTAAGGTAGAGGTGTTTAATATCTTAGTATGGAACATTCCAAACAGAGCAATTAAATATCCATAGAAAAAAAGCAGGTGACGGAGCCCCAAAAAAGTAAAAAAGTTACATTGTGCACCTTTAATATGTTATTTTATGTAGACATTTGTGTAAGCATACTTTTTTTTTTTTATATAATTTTGAGAATTTTCTGCGTATATACACTCAGCACATTAATAACACAAACATAAATATAAACAGAAACAAATTTAAATTAAACAAATGAATAAAGTAAAATTTAAAAATGCATGTATACATTTTAAACAAAGCTCTATAGACGGAAAATGTAAGCAATTTAAGAACAATCTTAACCATATATGCACAAGTACTGTATTATTATTATTATGAGTTTATGTAATAGGCTACTGCTACCACTGCTTTATTTCAATAATAAAAATAACAATGCCGCATACACACTGCCAGAATTCAATAAATAGAAAGGAATTTAACATTACCCAATAAAGCATAAAGATTCATTACATTTTGCCAAGTCAACTGGGGTCCTGTGAGTGCAAGGCAATAAATTATGCATAAACAACAAATCTGCAGCTAAACTAAGATTAAAATAATAGACAAAATAATAAAAAATAAATAAAAAAGCACAGTAAATGCAAATGAAGTCTGTTTAATATCATGGTAAGACTGTAGTGCATTGAAAATCCGTGCAATGTTTTGTAACTTACTTTTCGTAGGAAAGTTCATCGTCTATGCAGAAACAGTGGCGGTCCGCGGTGCTCTTGATCTTTTGCTGGAGTATGGCGAAGTACAGTTGATCTGGAGGACAAACAGAGGAGGAAGAAGAGAGGGAGGAAGGGAGGGGGAGGGCCACACCACAAGACAGAGGGGTTAGTGGTGATTGTCAAAGTCCCTTTAACTGCGTCCCGTTAACTTGAAAAAGTTAAAACACCGTCTAAATCTGCAGCTAAAACAACTTTATGCACCGTACCCTCTATGATCTCAATGCATCGTGAAGAAACGTCGTCCGTACTCATCCTTCCCACTGTTCGGAACAACTCCAAAACGCGTAAAGGTCAAAAATCTCTAAAAGGACCCAGGCATAACTTGTCAAATGTTACAATTATGAGGCGTTCAGGATAAATTAGATAAAAATGTGTTAAAATAAAATAAAATCGTCCTCGTTGTGTTTGTTTTCAAGCTGAGGAAAGTTACCAGCCGAGGAGGGAAGGGACATTCGCAAGTGCGCACTCTGCTGAAAATGAGCACCCCCTCCGATGTTCCCTGCGACGCTATTGGCTGGAGGGAAAACTTCAGACCTCGCTATTGGACAAATACAATGCCACATATGCCTGGCCCCGCCCCGTTTCGTTTAAAGTTCTCTTCAGAAGACACATGATAGGCCCCGGGAAAGTTGCCCAAGCGGTTGCTAGGACGATCCCTCAGCCAGTCAAAATCCTGATTTCCACTTGGTTGACCCTTCCTTTTCCCAGGCTCCAGCTGCTGGAAGATGTCAATGGAGCAGCAAATGCGATAAAATTCTGTAGTAGCTGGTTATTGTGAGTGAAACATGGTCTGATAGCGCTGTGTGTGGATATTATTTTAAGTTGTGAGGACAAACCTTCTTGAACTACACAAACTAAACACCGACGTTTGGCTCCTCTAACTTCTTCTCTGGATAAACCGACCTTTATAGGCCCAGACCACTAAGCCGCTGCAAAGACACCAGGGATAAACCGTCACAACCTATCCACAGATGGTGTCGCCATGTTAGGTCAAAATATAAAACAAAGTCATTTGCGTTTCCTTTTAACCAAATGTGTACATTGTGTCTGTGCGTGCGTAGTGGGCTTGGAGTTGAGTGGGTTCACTGCGCAGACCCACTTACCTGTTATCTCAATGTAAATATCAGAGTTTGGCTCCGCCTCTGAGCTGTTGTGAGCTGCACAGCGCTTTTTCCTTGACTCGGCTCGTCTCCGCTCGCTCTTGCGTTTCATTTTCTCCTCAGATATGCGCACATTGCGCATTGGTCATTTGGACGCTATGAAAAGGCTTGTCCCCGTTTGCCCCGCTGTTATTTCGGCATGTCTGCGCTGCGCCCGGGCTGATCCGGATGGTTGCGTGTTCTGGATGTGTCAGCCGTGGCACTGCTGCTGCTCAAGCCTCTCTCTGAAGTCCGTGACGTCTCCAACAGGGGAAGGTCTCTGAATCCCCTGCATGTGACGTATCCGCGTAATGTCCAGTGACTGCGCTCCACTGTACAACTGCAGCATATGGAGCCTATCCTACAACATGAATGTAGCTCTGAGGACAACAGGGTGGTTAAACACCTTTATTTTACTACATCTTTATGCCTTTGTTACAGTGTTATTACATGCCAGTTACAACACTGCAATAGCAATTTGAAATCAAATGAAATGACCACTTAATAGCCTAACAAATGCAGACTACATACAAAAGAGACAAAGCTCAACAAACCACTCACGTGGCTGCCGTACAGAAACCTGCCTATAACAAGAGGTGTCGGAGTGCATCACACTGTATAGTGTAAACATTTAAAAATAGTTTTCTGTGTCCAGCAAATATGCATTTGCAGATCTAAATTTCAAAAATATCCTACAGTTCAACTGTAACAGCTTATAAAAAATAAATAAATAGCAAGATTAAAAAGAAAAGACTCTTAAAAAACCTAGGAACATCTTTTTCAAGATGGAAATGCAAAATCAGTTCTGCAAAATGGCTGCATTGTCACAACAGTTGCAAATTTTGAGCAGGTGGTGTTGATGATAGAGTTGAGTCTAAAACCTGTATCACAATACGGAGCCTATACATGGATGATTTTGTGCTTATGACTAAAGTCCAGGGTCTGTTGAACTCCAGCCAGCTGCAGCAGCCAGTTAATGGGCATGTGATCCAGATGGTTCATATCACAATGGAAGAAATGGATATTAGAGCCTACAGGAAGAACCAGGAAACAAATGAGTGTTGTTCACATAGAAGAGAAAAGGAAAACTATTCTGGGTATGAACGTGTTTACCTGGCCCAACTATCATGGCTCCTCCTTGCTGATTTAAGTCTCCTTGGAAATCGAAGGCGGGACTAGTCATAGCTCTCCATATACTTTTCATTTGACCAGTGAAAAGACCTGATTTAACATGTGGACTGTTGTGACCTGTAGTTACAGACAGAAACACACTGATAAAGCAAAACATTATCACTACATATATTACACTACACTACATATATTACACAAAATTGACTTGTGAGCTTTAAGCCATTTAAGAAAGTCAAAAACATTCCTTGAATTCACACATGTTTGAGTATTATTATTATCATTTAGTAGAAGTAGTAGTAGCAGTAGTATTTGTCTGTCTACATCTCCAGAGCTGAAAATGAGCACTGCCTGTATTACCACATGACATCACAAGGTGGAAACGAGAGGTAAGTTTGAGAGAAGAGTTCAGTCTAAATATGCTGGGTGTGTGTGTTAAACGTGTGAATGAAACAAAACAAAACTTCAGGTATGTTTTTGAGGAGTTAAAAGCATCATAACAAAGATTTAAAAAGTGTAATATGGGCCCTTTAAGTAATCAATAATAATCTGATTGTTACAAAGTAAATGTTTAACACTTTCATACCTGACTGTGTGAACTTTGCTTCTCTTTTCAGCCCAAGTTTCTGATAAATGCACCTTTCTGGATCCACATATATTTCATAAGGATATCCTGTCAATGAGCAGAATGACTGGAAAAAAAAAAAAAAAAATTGATTAGATAATGAAATATAAGATGCAAGATAAGATGAGCAAATATTTTATTTCTTGTTTACCTCGATGTGTTGAGGAGCAGATTGACCAATCACAACAAGGTTTATATTGCCTGCCTGTTCCACACAAACATTTTAATTTACAAGCACTAAACAAGTGAATCAACTTAAAGGGCCCATATTATGCTATTTTCTGATCCATGTTATAATGTTATTTCCTCATCAAAAATAAACCTGGAGTTGTGTTTTGTTTCATTCACACGTTTAACACACAAATCCTGCAAATTTAGGCTGAGTTCTTCCCTCAAACAGAAAACACTCTGCTCCACCTTGTGATGTCATGTGGTAATACAGGAAGTGCTCCTCTGTTTTTACACTCCATACACCTGCACTGAAATCATTTGGATGATTTCAGATCTGGAATTGCCCAAATCTCTACTGAACAAATGGCAAAAAGTAGCTGAAGTAGCTTGAAAACTACCACTACATGACTCATAAGGTGGAACAGAGGATTTTGAGCTTTGTAGAGTGTTATACAAACATGTGTAAATGAAACAAAACACAACTCCAGGTATGTTTTTGATGAGGTAACACAACTATAACATGACAAATAGTCCACGTTGATCAATTTAGTGTAATACAGGAATCTTTAAATTAATGAATAAGCCATAAAATAAATATTTAGGGTGGCATATGGTAGTGAGGAATTTGGAGTTCACTAACTTGATGGTTGGTTCAATCTCTGCTAACAACAAGCCGTCCTGCCATGGTGTCTTTTGGCAAGACACTTTTCTCACTTTGCCTGTGTGAATGTGTTGGTGTGATTCTTTGACTGGTGGTGAAAAGAGGGTCAAGTTAGCTCTTATATACATTAACACGCAGTATATGGCATTTAATTGTAAGGTTGCGCTTTTATTTTGGTGACTTCCGGTGTGAACGGAAGTGAAGGAAAAACCGTTAGCTTGTTATAAAGAAAAGACGCAAAGTAAACACGGTAACGTTAATAGTGAAAATCAAAACAACGGAGAAAAGTTATATAAAACAAAGTAAAGATAGCTACAGTCGACAGGGGAACAAGGTTTGTTTGACTTGTTAATGTATATTTGAACTTCTTGTCATTTGTATCAAATTAATGTTAAATATGGATAACGGTTAAGCAATGTAATGAGCTAGTGATGCTGTAATCGTATGGTAATTGCTGTTATTTTGTTCGTGTCTAGCTCTTACGTTGGTTCTATGACACGGCAAGGAAAGATTAAAAGTCATTTAACCATCAGTTCTGGCCTTCTCAGTTCGACTGGATGCTACAGAGGGCATATTAATCACAGTTCTATAATATCTGGACTTTTCCAGGAGCCGCTCAGTTATTACAGAACTCAAACAAACAAAACAATGAATATTAAAAATGCCATGTGCTTCTCTCTGTGGAGAAGTTTTTGTTTGTCTAATGTTGTCTGTCATCAAAAATACATAAGCATCTCTTCACAGGTCTGATGTATAATAACTTCGCCTAGTGCAGACCTGCTTGTCTCCATGGACACAGAAATTTTAAGCCATACTGTGGGACATTCCATTCAAAAGCATGGAGACAGGCAAGTGATAGTCCCTACACCAGAAAAGTTACATAACACACCTTTCTTAAAAAAAAATTCAAATTCTGCAAATCAAAATAGTGTAAACATAACCTAAATACTGATCTCGTTTAAGGACGGAATACTAGACATGTTAATTATCGTAAAATATCATTCAATAAAATTCAATAGTTTGATCCACTATTTTGATTTGTAACCTGCTGTCTCTTAATGCACGTTTCATTTCGTTTCACGAGCTAAATAAACAGTATCCTTGCCTCTTACCTGCAGTATCTCTCTTGGAATTTTGCTCAAGTCTTCCACATATTCTTTACAGCTGTAGCACAAGAAATTCTGCCAAAAGAAACCACAGCAAACCATTAGACATGAAAGTGAATTCTTATAAACACAACTAGCCTATTTTACAAGTCAAATACAGATGTGTGTCCACACCTGTTGGCTCTTAGATGTCCTTACTATCCTTTGGTGTAACCTGTGGAATAGTTTTCAGACTGGCTAGAAGAATGTGCGCATAAAGCAAAACCTTACCCGTACAAAAATGACGATTGCTTTCCTGTCTTGATATAATTTCTTGAACGGAACAACGACTCCATGTCTGTTGTACACTAAACAATCTCCAACTTCCTCAAGACTGAAATCTACACTTGCTGCAGATCCAATGTCGCAGTTGTCTTTAGTTATTTGTTGCGTTATGGGTGAAACTTCTGCCATTTTCTGAGGTGCTCTTCCCCCCCCGACTGGACGCAGCTATTTCTGGGATTGGGAGTTGTCGCTTAGCCGGGGGAGACGAGGAGACGGAAACTCACGCCCATGCGTCGACTCTCTGTGCGTCCTGAGCACAGATCCATGACCCCAGTCTGTGCGCTGTGCGGACACGCTTCACATGTGGAGACTGTTTTAACTTTCTGTTAAAACATTTATAGGGCCAATAACTAAAGGGGATACAAGGATACAGGCATGATGTGACATGTAAGAATCACTGCACATCGCACCTACTGAACTGCACCTTGTGCGCAAATAGACATGAAGTTGGACCAAACTGATAATAAGCATAAGTGGGTAGAAACAAGATGCTTGGTAAAAACAGCAAAATGCACAATAAAAGACCAAAGGAGAACGCATTCCTGCAGTACAAATGTTTGAGAAGTTTAGTGTGACATTTGTGACAAGCTGCCTCGCCGGCTTCCGTCTCCCCGCCCCTCTGTGCGGAAGTGTTGTCCTCGCAGCTGCAGAGCCTGAGCTGCCTCTGTTTGGATAAACATTGTGGATTTGAGCAGCAGGCTTTCTGTTTTTGTGCATCTTTTGCATCGCCGTGTCGAGCCCACTGTCTCCGTGCAGCATAGCAGTAGTATGCGCGCACTGTGCGTGGTGGGGGAACACCGTGTGCACTGGTAAGGTGCTTTATGTGGGGCTGCAGCTAACTTAGCATGTAAAGATGAACTGAGCTAGCCTGTCACAGTGCTGAAGGCTGGGAGAGGGCTTATTTGGTTTTCCCCAAAGTTAAAAGTTACTTTTATCAAATCCTTGAAAGGGTAGCGTCTGCGGCTCGCGTCTTTCCCTCTGTGACGGACAGACAATTGACCACCTGTTCACTGTTTACATCTTTGTTGTCATCAGGCACACGCTGTGGCGCTGCTCTGTGCCCCAACAATGTCTCATTTCTGCTTTTTGGGTTTGACTCGAGGCAAACTGAGTACAAAGCCTTAATATCTGTCCATTTACGTGTGTTATTTGTTGTCTAAACGAGCGTCTCTGTTTCTGTGAATGGACAGTGTGCAGAAGTACAGGCTGCATACTTTTAATAGCCTGTGTAGTGATAAAAAAATTTGTGTCATATATATTAAAAGATTTTGAGTCAGCTCAGTCTATTTATGCTTAATGATCCATTATAGTGTTGCCTTTAAAGACTTCTTCACTTCTTTTCACAGTTAACGTGAATCATCTATATGGGCCATCTTCTCTCTAAAAATGGTTTCCATCTGAAGAAGAGGACTCGTAAACTTCATCACAGGAAGAAGAAGAAGAGGAACTGTTTGCTTCAGGGGCCGTGCATGCTGTGCTTCATTATCCACAGCAACAACACAGACCCTAACGAGGAGAGTGACCACTACAAGGCCGGAGTCAACAACCACCACAGCAGCATCACTGCAGTCAGCGTTCCAGGGGTCGGAGTGGGAATAGGGGCGGCCGCTGCCTCTAAACTTGCAGAACGATACGCCTCACTTGCATCACCGGAGGATTGTTCAAAGTTCCTTTTGTCTCCACGAGAACTAGCGCTTTTAGAAGACCAGGGCCGGAGTCTGCTTTCAGCTGTTCCGGCGAAGCTGATCCCACAGCCAGTGGTGTTTCGGACTGCTGGAGTGTCTGTGACTGTCCCCATCCCTGTGCCTCTGCCTGTCTGCACCAGCGGTTATACTGAGATGGTAGGATGAAGTTTACTTGTTTATTTGTGTTTGGTGCTGATTGAATGGATTGTAGTTTAGGGGTTGCCACCTTATACCTCTGAGAATAATTTTTACAACCTGAAAATGAAAAATGAAAAAGACATACATTTGATCAGATCCATGCTCAGGTTAAAGGTCCCATATTATGCTGTTTTCTGATCTATTTTGTAATGTTGTTTCCTCATCAAAACTTTCCTGGAGTTGTGTTTTGTTTCAGTCACACACACACAAACCCTGCATATTTAGGCTTAGTTCTTCTCTAAAACAGAAAAAAAAACACTTTGTGATGTCACTTTGTAATGCTCCGCTGTGTTTTAAAATTTCATACACCTTCACTAGAATCATTTGGCTCATTTCAGCCCTGGAATTGTAAATATCTACTGAACAAAAGGTAAAAGGAAGCTGCTCATTTGAAAACTACCGCTTCACAACATCACAAGCTTTGGAGATGCAGACAGACTAAAGTTTTACTCAAACTTGTGAATGAAACAAAATACAACTCCAGGTGTGTTTTTGATCAAGTAACAACATTATAACATGACCAACAGATCATAAGAGTCAGTTTTGTGTAATATAGGACATTTAATATCTCCAGTAAGTCAAAGTTGATTAAACAAGTTACCGTGTGCTCCAGATTAGCTCTGAAAATGGAACCGAAATAATCTATTACTATACCAGTGTTTCCCATTAATACAGGAGAGTATGGTGCTCTGACATAGTCTGAAATTCTCCCCCATATCGTAAAAACAACTTGGACTAAATTGACATACCAAACTTTGACTTTGTTTCTCATTGCGTCATCATAAACTTACAAAAGAAACTAGACTGGTCAAAAGTGACTGCGTAAAAAAGTGCTAAAGTAAGTGACATTTATACTCTATAAATTTAATGAGATTAATTTATTCAAATTACAATGATTTGTCCTGCCATAATCTTAAACATATCTATGGGAAACACTGTGATACACAAACATGGCATTTCATAATCACTATGTCTCGACTTAAACCACTCATTGATTAGACAACTTGCAGCTGATCCCTGATCTGATAGAATTTATAATGTTGATTATTAGTCCTATGTGCATTTTATATATGTGCATAGACCTAAGTCTCACTGGGTGCACCCAAATACAAAATAATGCAGGAAAAATGTTGATCAATACTAGGAGTTGTGGTCTACTGTCTGTGAAATTGTTGTTATTACCAAAAGATAAAGTGTTTATAGCATGTTTGAATGTGGCAGGTCTGTAAGAGGAAGTGCTCTGAGGTGCAGAGGTGCACTCCCTGTAAGCAGCCGCGCTGTGCCTTCTCTGGGCCTGAGGGAGCCCTGGACAATGGAGCGGAGGAAACCTCCTCCGATGAGCCCAGCACCTGCCAAGGCCCTGTATGTCCTGATCCCTCCGCTGCTCCCTCCGCCTCTTCGTCCACTTCCTCCTCTTCCTCCATTGCTCCCACTGAAGGCTGCTGTGGGTTGGGACACCCTGTAGATGTGCCCCATAGCTCAAACTCATCCCCATGCTGTAATCACCACCATGACGACAACCAGCCCAAAGCTCCAGAAGCTGCAGAGCATTTAACTATCAACCAACTGCCTTCCTCCATCCTCCTCAAAGTAAGCACTATATACTTCAAAATTGTACGCTCATTAAAAGGACATTGTTCTAAGTTTTAAGCACTCACCTTCTGTTCTAGATATTTGTGTGACATTGGATATATTCTTTTACTACCATATCCTGACATTATCATTCTGAAAGATGTCAAATTGGAACAGTAGAACAGCACTTACATTTATCTGACAGTTCTTATGATCTATTAATGGGGCATTGTGTAGGTTTTCTGGTAGAGGGTCCATCACCTGCTTGTCTCCATGGAGAATGTTCCCTGGTGTAACATTAAACACCTCTATGTAGCATTTATTTGTTACGGGTATATCAGTTGCTCAAAAATACAATAATTCTCTGTGAATAGGGTTGCCTCTCCACAGATCTGACCTGTAATTTAGCCTAGTGTCCACAATGAGACAGATCGGTTTAATCTATACTGTGGAACATTCTAGACAAAACAAAAACATCTCCATGAAAACAAAGTTACGCAATGCACCTTTAAAAAACTAAACCATGACCAAAACCACTGAATTAGGACTAGGAATTAGGAAAACCATGACTAATATCTGCAATTTTTATGTTATAATGAAAAAAAGTACATGTTCACCAGATAGGGAATATTATAATATATTTTGTTTATTATTACATTAGTCAGTAATGCATGTCTCTATGTTTTTGCAATATATTGTGCATCTATGGTACTTAAAAGACCTATATTACGCAAAAGTGACTCTCTCGTGAACTTTTATCTATGTTATATCTTTCTACCTCCTCAAAAACAAACCTGGAATTGTGTTTTGTTTCAGTCACACATTTCTGTGTAATCCTGCATTATTAGTCTGTCTACATCTCTAAATCTCAAAATACTCTTTTCCACCTTGTGACGTCATGAAAACATAATCAGTAGAGATTGGCAATTCCAGGGCTGAAATCATCCGAATGATCCTAGTGATGGTGTATGTAGTTTAAAAACACAGTGGAGCAC